AGAGTTGTTTCTTTCTCCCCCCCCCCCCACCCTCTCGTTCTTTAATTTCTTTAATTTTTTTCTCTTTATCATCATTTTCTGTTGTTGCGAGGAGTGAATGTCTGATGCCACTGCCTCTAATAATAGCAGCTGTTTTTAGACTACTTTTATACTGTTGATGTCACGTGCAGCTACTTACTCAGAGTCAGTATATTACTGCCATAATCATGAAAACGAAACGATGTATAACCAATATACCTTTATAAATAAAACACGACTGAAAAAAGTAAGAAAAAAAGAAAAATTACCTTTCACGTACATTGCTGCTGTACGCAGTATATATTCCGTGCCGATACTCGAATGATCGACATTGAGTCGATCTCGCTGAAAATCCTTGTGACAGTCGAGTGAAGAAGAAGAAAAAAAAAAACGAAAAGAAAAGAAGATGATCGAACGAAACTCGGGATGCAGGGCATTCGAGTGGCTCGACAAATATGTAACCGGGCTGCACCCGTTCGGCCGTAAATTTAACCTCCGCGATCGACTTTCTTACGGCGACATCGACGTGACGGCGAAACGTTACGGTATGCGTTTCTTTCAGCCTACGAAAGCTAAGGTTATCGAGTTCCTGCTTCGATACGGCCGGTTTGCCTTGCCGCGCCCGTATTGCGAATGCTGATAAACGGACGCCCTGTCCAATGACATTTTTACCTCCGTTCCAGCGAGCCAGCATAATTGAGATAATTGTCCCTTTGTCTAACGCTTTCCTTCCGTTTTCCAACAGGGCGTGACGTAGCTGACGTAACTCACACAGGCAGCGAAAGTACAGCGAAGTACTAGACGAAGATTTGAAAAGACGACTGTAAGAATTGCACTTTCGTTTTCACAAAATTTCCAAAAAAAAAAAAGAAAGAAAGAAAAACACGAAATGATATATTCCAATTTATTCATCAGAGATAGACGTAACGCAGTGCAGTGGAATAATGGTAATTCGTGCAAACCAGTTTCAAAAGGCAGATGCTTTACGTGCTGAACCTACATTTGCAATGAGGTATGAATCACGGTTAAAAGATCAGGTATGCTCCCTCGCGGATCGTGGGATCCTCCGTTGATCGTGGAAACAGCATGGGATACGCCAAAGGTTGTTAAATGAAAGTAACGTGACCCCGAAGCGCTCGCGGGATCGTGCTCGCATTTGTGAAGGAAATTGCCATGCAAAATCTCGGGGCGTCGACCAGTCGAAATCGATTAAGAAAACTCGATTCAATGACTTTTTGCAACATCTGTTTTCGGTAATTCCTCAATCCTCTCACGCCTTTCGCTCGAACGTTTCAACGAGAAATTCTTCTCTCAGGTGGGAAATTTACAACTCGATTGTTTTTCAACAATGAAACTGTATGTATTGGTAAACGAGGCGTACTTTCTCCACTTTTGTAGTAGTCTTTGCAAATGCTACGTGGCCAATGAAACGCTTCGTTGCAACTGAAAATTTTTATTCCGGTTTCTAGAAGAAAATTTCGTGCATCTGCAATGGAACGTTTAACACTAAACGTGCCGGTATTTCAAATGACCCCTACATAAAGTATGCAAAGAATTTTCCCCGGTAC